TGTGAAACATCTTCATTCTGTCTTAATAAACTGCTTAAGCTTAAGGAACCTGCCTCATCATTCAACTAAAAGAACCTGAGGTTTCACTGAAGAAATCTATCACTTGAGTGTTTTTTTTTATGTGAATTGCTGCTGCAGCACAAAAAAATCCCTTTGGGGAGAGATACTCTGAATACAAACGTGGTTCATGTATCCACTTTTCCTGCATTGATATTTCTTTAGCAATAGAGGGCAGCATTTGCTTTCAAATGAAGGGAAATGTGTCACCGAAAAGACCTCATTTCATCATCTGCATTCTAATTTCACCATTTGCGTCTGCATTCTCTATACATAACTTGTATAGGTAATTTGTACAATGTCGTGTTTAAAAAAAAAAAACAAAAAAAAAAACCTGCATGTTTGTGTAGATGTGTTGCAGGGGCATGCATTAACATCCACACGGCTGGAAGCTTTTGTCCTAAAGTGTCATACAATCTGTCTATAGGTCTAAGACGTGCACGTTTGTGTCGCACAGTCCTGAGGCTGCCTTATGCTACACCCATTATTTAGTAGCAGAACTAACACACCAAAGGCTCAGAGATTACTCCATAGCTCCTGGAGCAGACAGAGCGAAGAGCCTGAATCTGCCCTCTAGTGACTGTCTGTTACAGTTACATTATCCAAATATCATGAAAAGGAAGAATTTCAAAGGCGTTTAATATTTAAAAACAACAAACTGAATTTTTACATTTACAGTTTTAATCAGTGTAACAGATTTCCTGAAATAATAGGAATACAGAATAAAAAAATAACCTTAAGGTTATGATTTCTGATTTCTGCGTTGTGATGTTGAAACAGAGCTGAGCTGATGTTACCCTGCACACATTCTGCTAATCAGCTCCATCATAATCATGTATAATGTACACGCATCAATCGTGGACGAAGCATTCCACAGATACAGGACATAAAACAGCATCGCTTCCAAGTCAGCTTATAAGGTGATTGAGAAAAGCATTATTTAAAAAAAGACTTGCAATATATTAAAATGATTAAAACTTGACATCTGGCATACGATAAAATCAGAATAATGATATAATATAAATGACAATACACAAATAGTGGAAACTTGTTACATTGCCCTTCAGTGCAGCAATAAGGTTATATTCCACAAGCATGTTTCAGTAGCAGAATGAATCATCTCCAGTTGGTGACTTCAGGGGGACTCAGTAGTACAGAACCTGCAGCAAACATGCACTGGGGTCTTTACTGCACTGTTCATCACTGCCAGTGTTGTGCACAGACTTGACCAAAGTGCTCAGCATGGCACTGCTTTTAACAAGCCTAAAGTATATGTGGTACACATCAATATATGGCTTAGTATATATGAAGGCAGCAGAGGAGAACATTACATAGTAAAGGTGCAATATATTCCACAGAAATGCATTTTAAAATCCATTTAAAATGTATCTCCCACATATTCCCCTATAGCATTTTCATATATTCATATCAGTTTGTGAACTCAAAAATTGCAGTAGTCGACACCCCTCCAGATTCCACTGCACTCGGCCAGTGATGTCCTGGGAATGAGGTCCGCCTTTGTCCTGAGTCCGTTAAAGGATCACACAGCTGGACCCAGCTGACTCCGGAGCGCTGGGGGGGGGGAGGGGGACATAAGACTGTAAAATCACATTATTACTGCAGAATCTAAATTCTCCAATAAACACTTAACAGACTGTCCTTTCTGCAGTAGAGGGAAGTTTTAAGGTTTAACTGCAGACTCAGGATAATCACTTCAGTGCGATCACTTTGATGACATAATAAATATAACACAGTTACTTTCACTTCAGGAATTTAAAAAGGCAGGTACTGCCGGGGCAGCTGAATCCCCCTCAGGCTGGCGAGAGCGGTGCTGCCAGGCTCAGTATTCAGGAGGCCTGAGTGATGTGTGACGTTAACCAGCATCACATGTGATGCACATGCAACTGTCACATCGCAAGGACTGCAAGAATCAGCTTGGCGGAGACCATCAATAAATTACACTAAAAGTGAGAAATTTTACAAAAATAAGGCAGGAGGAAGGATGCAAATAAGAACCGGTCACCAAGAGACATTCGTCTTCTGCCCTATGGAAATGCTTCGGATTCCATAGACGATAGTGAGCACAGGAAGTGATGTCAGCACTGCTGTTTCGGCACAACTCGCAACTCATTTGACAGACTAACAGTACATAAGTTCTATTTGACTATAATTTTGGGTAAATTTTCAACTCCTTTAATGTTTATGTATCATGCAGCCTGTGTGTAAATCACACTAACCTGATGCTCTCTGATGGCACACTACAGTATGCTACATACCATACACACTACAGTATGCTACATACCATACACACTACAGTATGCTACATACCATACACACTACAGTATGCT